CGCCTCTAATCGCGAGAAATTTCTTCATGTCTCGGGACAATTATACGGCACTTATCGCTATTCCTGAGGTGGAATACCCACAATTTGGACCCGCAGACCGAAGGGCTTACTTTCGGGATGGGGCTGGCTTACTTTCGGGGTATGGCTTATTCCAGCGATGAGCTCGGAAATTCGTGTGGGGCTCATTTTCGGGGTAGGACTTATATTCGGGGAGACACGGTAGTTGCTGCATGATAATCTTGACCCTTAAAACCACCGGTGCCAAGATACCCAATCTGTCGGATACAGACGCAATGATGCCGATATTCTTCTCTTGGTGAGGGTTGAGGTTGATCCGCTCTCTCTCGGTTTCTCCAACCTGAGAGTATCCTTGGATCTGTCGTACCTTATCCCCAGGACCTTCATCTCTCCTGTGCCTTTACCGGTGAATTCCTCCAATGATACCGCGTCCCCGACGAACCTAGCCATGAGATCTTCCGCGTTGGAAAACCATTTTCGCAACCCGAATGATCCACTGGCGAACAGCTCTTTCGTCACCTCGTAGTGTTGGACCGCTTCTCCTACATTCGGTATCAACATCACGACATTATTAACGTAATAGCTGTATCTGAGTCGCTCGATAACTTGCGGATGAGATCCCTGGTACGTGTTGAGAAGCTTCCGGAAGCATGCAGCCAGGATGAAAGGCGATGAACCAAGTCCAAAGCAGTTTCTGGTCAGACGGAACACCTGAGGCGTTCCCGTACCGTCAGCGTCCCAAAGTACGCGGAAAGCGTATCTGTCGTTTTCGTGGAAGATTATTTGCGGGAATGACTTTTCAGTATCGGCCATCAAAGTCACATCGAATCGTCTGAAGTTGAGCAACGCTCCCAACAAATCCGCATTGAGATTCGGACCATTCCACAGAAACTCCTTGAGTGAACACTTGTTTTTTTCCTTCGCTGAGGCGTCGAATACCACCCACAGTTTCGTTGTCAGACTGTCTTCTTTGAGGACCTCCCGATGTGGTACATACGAGATGTTCCTTCCCGGTGTGGCTTTTTCGTCGACTCTCTCCATGGATCCCAGTCCGAGCATCCCTTCAAATTCGGCATCGTATTTCCGTCGCAATCCTGTTTTCTTCAAGCTCGTTTCGAGTGATCGTAGTCTGGCTGGGCAGAGTCCCTTGTTTTCCGAAGGTTCGATATCATCTTTGAATAGAAGCCGGACCACGATTCGTTTTTCTCGATGATCGAAGTCAACGCTTTTCATGAATTCTTCGGTGAAAAGTTTCTCGGATTGGTCGTGGTCGTAATTTGATAGAAACGCGTCGGTCTCGACAAAACGCCTGAATTGTTCGTCGAGAGATCTATCCGCTCCGTCTCGGATTACTGAAGTAGTTCGAATTTGTTTTTCATCCACCGTACTGGCAAGACAGGCAGCCACGTAGTGCTGATTTGAAATCCCTGTCGTTCTGACTGTGACGACGTCCGAACAACGTCCATCCCAACATAGTCTGAACCACCTCCACCTTTTGGTGAGCCAGATTGCCTTCCGTGCCTGGAATTCCACGAGATGATCAAGTCTGATGACGACGGCAATCGGCTTGTCGGTGTCGGCATCGTCTGCCAGCTGGATCTTCAGTTGCTTCAGCTGGCCTCTGGTCTCGATATCCACTTGTGGTTCGAACTCTCCTTCACAAATGTCTTGGATTGCTTGACATGAGATCCACAATTTAGCCGCTGGAAGTTGCTCGCTCTGTAGTCTGAGCTCGACTTTCGTTGCCTCCACAACCGCCGTTGCTCTATTGAACATTTTGAGTGGAATCTGTGTTTTTGATTTCCGGCTGAGATCCACGCCGAGTCTCTCACAAGGGAAGTTTCCGACATGATGGGCGAGTTTGGAGCTGAAACTTTGCTGAAATCTTAGTCTATCCGAGACTGGAAAAGCCTAGAATATTACGTCCTCATGAGCATTTTTGAGCGAATACCGAATTTTTTTAATTTTCCCATAGAGCCCATATGAGTCCCATAGAATGCTTCCTGCTGCCATCTGATGATATGAATTTGTTATCTATAAGCTCGCAACGCTCCGGGAATGTGTCGATTCGAATCTCTCGCTATCCAGGGTGGTTCCGATTTCCCTTCCCTCAACTTGCGCGCGGTCGGAACGTTGAACTGTTGTGGAAGCTTCGAAGACCGATACGTGCAAAGGGAACGCAACATTTGTGGGATTCGAGATCAGTACCGAGCCGAAATAAGCAGCAAGGACGCCAAGAAGAAAACGAGACGGCTGAGACCCGAGATCCAGTGAAGGTTCTTCAAGCCAGGTGTCGTGGTAATCCCCGCTGCGTGGTTGAACGAGTTGCTCAATCGGCAATTCGACACGGCGTGGGCGACCGAACGGATTCGGAGATGTATTCGACACCGCACAGGATCAATCGGGTCTCGGGGTGAAAACGAGGACGAATGCTCTTGAACGCATGAGTTCCTATCAAGAGACGACGGTTCGAGTATTTCTCTGACGACGAGACGGAAGAGGTTCACTTTGTGGAGGTCGAGCCCACCGAACCGGTCGTCGCACAGTGGGCCAAATGGCCGAATTAGGCGGACAAAAGTCGAGCTCGAAATTTGACGCCCCACATAGCGTCGGAATCTCGTCGGAACATGGGAAGACGCGGGCAACAATCCTTTCCGACTCCGCTTCGATCAAAATGAAGTGGAGAGACAGCCAAAGTCGATGATTCATACGATTCCAGAGGAGCTTGTTTCCGCGATTTTTCTCATTTGTGTTTTCTTGCTTCGAAAGAGTATCGACAAAGATATTGGAATGGAAAAAGGAACACGCCGTGAGTTGAAGTACTTCTCAAGTCCGCATTCAAGACCATTTGAGAGCGGACGATCGGTGTTTACGGTCTTAAATAGAGTGTTCCTTCGAAACCTAATTTCCATAGAATCAGGAGGAAGTAGATTATTCAATACGAGACATGCCCCCCGTGTCCCCTCGCTGTAAATTTTTTTTTTTAAAGTTCCGGCTCTAAACTTCCCAGAAAAGTTGTTGACAGACCGCGCTTCGTAGCGCTTCTCGAGTTCCAATGCCCCAAACAGAGGGATCGTAAGACCTTCGAGACTAACTTGCTGTTTTCAGGAATCGAGATTTCTGTGCCGCGGGTTCAATTTTTCGATGTTTGGCGTCAGTGTCCAGATGACAACGGTCCAGATTCACTTATACGATGGATTTTTTCGCAATGCGTGGACAGCGTAGAAGAGTGCCATTTGATCAACCGACGAGATTTGAGGCATGAAGTCAGTCGCATTATTCGAAGCTTCGCAAGAAGCACAGAAATGCCGTCGAGGCCGCGATGAACTCGTTCGTTTGTTTCGTTAATACTTCAGCATCAATGAATCCGGGCAAGCATCTCATCGTTGTGATAGAAAAAGAGACAGATAGTAGTGTCTTGTTGTCCCTTTCTCGAATAGGCGCCAGACCAGCTCCTGGCTTCCCTTTTGAGAAATTCCGAGCTCCGACCCAAGGCATCGAACACGAGAGCTAGATCATATGAGGAGTCTGTCAAGGGGGAGAGAGGGAGTATTCCATCCGCATGATTTCGTTTCACGAGCTCCGGTTCCGTGATACGCGGGGTTTGTAATGAGCGGAGCTTCGAATTCGTGTATCTCGAGCTTCGGAACATCGAATTAGACAAGCACCGTCGGATTCGAAGTGTAAATTAATTTTTTCCACCTAATTTGGCCATTTGGCCCGTTGTGCGTCGGACCCAAGAGGCTGATTCCCTCGCAGCCGCTCTACGAGATCTGGCCCGAGGGCTCGAGGGACAGGCACGTCCGAGCACAGGCGGATTTCGAGGAGGCATACGGGTGCGAGATCAGACTTCGAGGTCTCGAGGCCGAACTGGCCAACATCCGCATCGACTCGCCTTTGGATCTGCGAGTCGAGACCAAGCGAGACGAAGACCTCGAAAAGGACAAGTTAGGGGAAGCCTATGTTATTCCAGCGTACTGGGCGAACTATGATGGGAAACATAGGCGATGTTGAAACCCGATAAGACTGCGATACCAGGCTGCCGCGCTTGGCTGAGGCGGTCTTGCTCGTCCGTTTATTGAAGGCTGCGCATGCGCTAGTCTGTCACCTGAGTCCAGAGCGGGCTCCCAACATGCCCTTACTTTTTACAAACAACAAAGACAACTTCACCGAGCAAAGAAAGAACAATTGGGGCTCTATGAATTGACCGGACTAGAGAACGATATTCGGTCGGGTGAAAAGGTTGGTAGGTAGCAGTAGTGTTGGGTACTTCGCCCATATCTACATAACAATGAGATAAACGATGATCCAACACTGTGACATACACAGAGAGTCTACCTCTGAATGAGGGTGTTCCACCGAAACTAATGGGAACTTTCTCATTCTATCGCTCCCTCTTCGGGAGCGGAGCGACAGTGCTTTGATGAGCTCATCGTCGTGCATTATTCGAATCGTTGCATTAATCGTATCATCGGGTGTTGATATGATACGTAGTTCATTGCTCCGTTCTTCTGTGGTGTAGTGCGAATCCTGGATACGTGGACTATAGGCCATTGCCCTGTAGATTTTTGATGAAATATATTGAGTTTTCAGTCTAGTATGCGCCCAGAAATCCCTGTGGCTTGAATTAGTGAATTCACCAGAGCGGAACGTCCCTGGGTATTTTCTCAACCCTTCCGCACGCTTCATTGTCAGTGTTCTTCTGTAACCTTCAGTATCTGAACAATTAGCTAACCCTGAGCAGTTGTTACAATGTAACCCTTTTCACTGGAACACTATATAAGGATGGAATAAAGAATCCCCATCAGGGGGAACGTTCGCCAGTTACCCAGTGTGTTTGCTAGCCGAAGTTTCGACAAGTGGACATCAAAATCTTCACGTTATCAGCACGACAGTGCTCTGTGTTTTCAGTATCAAATTATCTAAGTGATTGTGACCAAGTGAAAAACGAACAATGCCCACTTCTCGAGACTACAGAGCCCCTCACGGCTACGTAG